TTAAGGGTTAGGGTTTAGGGTTAGGGTTTAAGGTATAGGGTTTTAGGGCTTCGGGTTTAGGATTTGCTCGGGTTTGGGGATATACCAGACTACACTATACCATGCTACGCTGTGCGATGCTATGCTATATTATCCCTATAGCTATAGCTGAAACTGTAACCATGACTGCAACGATAACTGTAAGTCTTGTATCTAGACCAGGGACTCTCAGGGTATATTTTAGGGTTTAGGGTTTAGGGTTCTTGATTAGACACTTGCAGAAACTTTTGGGGTCAGAGCTGGCTACACTTTCAGTGGCTCATGGGTTTGGGGTTGAGGACGAAGGTTGAACCCTAAACCCCGAAACCCACAAACCCCTAAACCCCAAACCGCTGAACCGTAAACCCTTAAACCCTAAAATTAAACCCCTAAACCCTTACACCGTAAACCCCTACACCCTAAACCCTTCTTCCGAGAACTACGCATCGCGTAGAAGCTGAGCGGCTTTGGGCAAGCTTAATTTATTAATATGGGGGGGACTTAACAGTCAGAAGAGGGTTAGGCTTTAGGGTTTAGGGTTTCCCGAATATCGAGCACTGAATAGTTCGAAGCGGGTTTGGGGGATAGATTATACTACAAATTAGTATGGTTTTGGGGTACATCACTCGACGATTCTGAGGTTTTTGGGAAATTACATCTATCATCGGAAGCCCTGAGGAATACTGCCAGTGATTTCTCAGGCATTTGACATTTGGCACTCAGCCAACACTTACAAGGAATCCGGGCCTGGACGAAGGTGCGTGTGTGCTGAAAGTCGACAGAGGTGAGCTGACGACCGATCTGCTCCTGCGACCTGAGAGTGCTCAGACTAAACCCTACCCTAAGGCTCTTATGGCTGTTATGGGCTTTCTAGGGGAAGGTTTGGGGTTTGGGGGCTAAGGTTTGGGCTTTCACTATGGGGGTCCATGAGCCTTAGGGTAGACTCTAAACCCCTAAACCGATCGTCGGCCACATCACCGCTCCCAAAACCCTTGCTAGCCTTTTGTTCATCCTACGTCTTTCTGAAATCCTTATGGGGTTTCTGAAAATAGGGGACCCTAATATAGTACCCTAAATAATAGGACCCTTAATATAAGGACCCCAAAATAAGGTACCCCTAATTTTCGGAAACTCCCTTATCGAAACACTTATAGAGCCTCTCTTGCAACCAGAGTTGACCTCGGAAGGTCTCTAGGTCTGAGGAACGAAAGTCATGAAATCATGACCCACCGCCGTTTCATCGCAGCCTTCCAAGGTTCGGGTTTAGGGTTTAGGGTTTAGGGTTTAGGGTTTGTTCAAGACCGAAGCCAAACAATGTAGACCTTTGAATAACAAGCCGCACAATTTCAGAAGGGTCATAGCAGGGAGCTGAATCTTACGGCGACCTTGTTAACCGATGAATCAGGGACCTACATGACGCAGTTTTCCGTTCGAGTCCCAAAGAAAACCGGCACACCCAAATGTGTGAACCCCAAACCCTACACCGCTAAACTCTAACCGCCGAAAGCCCCTACAAGTATCTGTTCAACTCTAAACCCTCAAAGCACAACCTAAACCATCACATTCCCAAACATCCGAAGCCTATCAGCCAAGTCGCGCAAAGAGCTAGCTCTAAATCCCTTATCCTTCATGTAGCCCTTAAAGGGACTCTCAACATCTTAGTATAGTACCCTTTAAAGGGAGGGTTTAGGGTTTAGGGTTTAGGGTTTATGGCTTAGGGTTTAAACCCTAAACCATAAACCCTAAACCTAAACCCTAAACCCTAAACCCCTTTGAGGGGAACCCTTATCTGCCTTCGAGCCGAGTTTCTCAAAGAGCCCGAGCTTCCGCAACTCGCGGCCGGAGTCGGTCATGACCTTGGCCCGAAATACCCACCCGACGCCCTAAAGCCTAGACCCTAAACCCTACTACTTGGAGGTTCATGGGTA